AGTGTCTTTCTTTTTGAAGTGTATGCTTTCATACTGTTGTACATAATTTCAACGTGAAAGTTATGCAGTGAGATCTGTTTACGAATTTTTCCAAAGATTAGAGTAAAACTGCTTTGTGCAACTTAGCACATCAATATTAATCATTATCAATCAATAATCAATCATTTATCATCAGTAATCATCCGACAATATTGGGACAGGCGCGCAAATACGTTTTTCCTCATTCTGGAAACTTTCACCAAAATGAAAGGAACTTAATCTTGCTGTGCTCAGAAGAGTGGATTGAGATATTCCGATTCAGTTTTCGATATATACCAGTATTGAAAAGAAAACGAGGAATATTATAATGTTACCCGTCAGCTGGAATGTGCCATTTTAGTCGTACACTTTATATTTGCTTTCAGATGATCAATTTGTGATCGGAATGTTTGTATTCGTAGTTTAGTTTGCGGTACAAATATTTCAGAGTGCAGAATCGAGTTTTTCCTGTTTTATTTATTGGTTTAAAAAGTGTCTACTTATCAGACTGTCTGTTTAGCATGTTTTGAAGAGTTAATTGCATTTAAGAAATATATGCAGCTGTGTCAAAAGTGAGCTAATTATTTCGTTACAGCTAAGGTTTGTATTTGCGTATCCCAAGGATCGATTTCTTTACCCAACTATTCACGACCCGACTCCTTCCCCAATCGCTGAGCTGAAGAGTGTCGTTGTCTAATCAAAGGCAGATATTATTTAGTATATGCATTATTGTAACTAAAGAATAGTTCGTACAATTTGAAACTTTTTCTCTTATCAGTGAAGTATAATTTACATTTATCTCAACAATTTAAAGCTTGGTGTGAAAAATCAACGTTTTTTGTACTTTAGGCTTCTTTGCTTTTGAAAATGGAAGTTTTTGAAACAGAACTTGAAGATACGTGTCTCATGTTTGTATCAGATATAGACGAGAGACAAGGGGGCAGTGTTGAAGTGATCAATGAAAACATATAACGTTCATCGTCATATTATTTGTGCCTACTCAGAAGATATAAGCTTTCATGATGTATTTGTAGGTTACGTAGCACTTTAGGTGTAGCAGTTTTTTAAAATCTGTTGTGTATTTTCAAACTTTTTACAGATTTAAGAAAATACAATATGTATTATCTTCTCCTTTTGATGGTTTACAACTTAAAGTTTCCTGTTTGAAAAAATACCACTTGTATTTGAGGCTTCTTAGCTTTAGAAAATGTAAACTTTGAGGTGTGAAGCGTTGAGGTGTTAATTGAAAATACGTAATTAAAACTGTATTATTAAAATATCTTAATTTGTTTTAAATACATTAAATGTAGCGGCGTAAAACTGTTATAGCGCCCTCTTTTGGGTGATTAGTGAAATGCACCGTTCGCTTCTTCCACTCGATGATCCACTACGTACAAGAGCGACATCTTTCCTTTCATTAAATAAACCCCCAGGAATGCAGCAGATGGTAAGACAAAGGAATCCTCCCATATTATGTGTCATAAAGGGATATTAGAATAAGCTTAAGGGTCATCTGGGGAATAAGGGTTAATTTGGGAGGAATAATGGGACGTTGTAACGCTAGTAAATTATGAAGGGCCGTTATTACTGGGTTCATGTATTAACCTACTGCTCGGATTTACATGTACATGTACTTTATATCATAAGTCACGTGGTCATTTGGCATTTACCCAGTAAGACAGTTTATGGGGGCACATAGTAAGGGTAAATTTATTCATAGGGATTTGTAGTTAACTGTTTCTTTATTTCATCATAATGGATTTTGACTAAGGTCTATGTACATGTATTGCTACATAAGGTATACTTCTATTTTCTCTATCCATTGTAGCGAACCGCAGACTTGGGACTTGGAATGGGCTGCCATCAATAAGGGTAGCGAATAAAAAGTTCAAGTTCTGGAGAGAGCTGTTTCCACGGGCCAAGTTTTTTATCAGTGTGTTCACACTTGCGTTTCTTGTGTAATTTAAGAGGTTACGTTAAATGTAATGAGTCTTTGTGACTACTCAGATGATGTAAGCTTTCTTAATGCATTTGGAAGTTGTACAGCAATAAACAATTATTTACGAGAACTTTTTACTTCAAATCCTTTCTAGATTTTAAGAGGAATACGATATGCATATCTTATCCTATTGATGACTAGGCTAATACCTTCTCAAATTTCACGGACATTATTAATGTCGCTGTATATAGCTATTATAAATCAAATAATTAGAATTTCTAAGTGATCGGTGCCTTTTTCCCGCCAAACTTTAGTTTGAAAATGTACCGCACGCAGACAATTTCGTTGTGATACATAAAGCCGTTGATTGAGACCGTTAGATGAAACATATACAAGAGAAAAAGGATTAATGTATTATGTTATTAAGGGTATTTGTTGTGTAACACTTCAACCATCATTACTTTTACTCCTTTCATAACATTTGTGCCCTGAAAGTATCCAGATTCTACATTTCGTGTTGAATTTACACGAAATAAAGATATAAAATCCCACCACTGAATGTAGTTTTTCATTATAAACCAACATTTTCCACGCAGGTTTTCTTTGTTAAAACCACCTATCCAACTTATTTCTTTTCGTTTAGGTATTTATGTGTCACGTGTCATTCGCTTGGTACCAGACCTTTTTCATGTGTTGACTTGAATGAAGGATGCGCGAAGCATTGGTTACGTAAAACCAAAGAGCTGTAGAAATGCTAGCAGCCATTTGTAGGGCTTTTGTTATTTGAACAATTAGCTACAAAAATACGTCCGTTTCACAATAGTGAACCACCAAGAGTTTGCAACGCGTTGGCCAATCATAGTGCGAAATCTGTAGACCAAATACGCGTTTGGAAAGGGTCAACAGATTTCGCGCGTTGTGATTGGCCAACGCGTTGCAAACTCTTGATGGCGCACTTTTGTGAATCACCCGTATTGCGGGACAGGAAATGGCTGTATCCTGCAGGAGCAAAAGCGCTGTCTATGAAAAGTTGGCTGCTTGGTGGTAATAAAATCCGAGACATTGTAACAAGATATGGGTCGGAGACACCCCCCCCTTTTGTGTTGGTCATTATTTGACCAGAATCTTAGGATTTCTTTTCAGACACATATGGGGGATGTGTTAGGTAACAAATGTTCAGACTGTGTATAGGGTTTGGACATGTAGGAAGGGGTAGGCCTACCCTCCGAGGCTTCCCATAATATGCTGGGTTTAAACCGAGACCGCAGATTTTAAGATCGCATTGACATGGACTGCCGAAGATTTCAAGCTGTATGCTGGGTAAGAATGAAGGAAGAGATTAGGGCTTGGTTCTTGTTGATCAGACGGATAATGTAGGCCAGACATAACATTTGATGCCATGGCAAGTATTGATGTCAATTTTTTCCGCTCCTGCTGATGAGGTGATGTGCTAATCCAGTGCTGTGTTCAAGATGTGAAGATTTCTAAACTCCCAGGTTTGGTTTGCGTTATGGGTAAGTAAGCCAACCCATCCGATGGCTGTCCTCAAAACCAAAACCAGCAAAACTTTTAAGGTTGTTGTATTTTAATAGTAAGTCCTGCACGAAGCCGTTGCAGGTACAGGGACAGTCAGGTTTATACCTGAAAAGCGCTTCATAATAAACACGAAACGTAGACGTCACGTGTTGTACCAACTCCTACAAATGAATGCACAACGACAATAAGCCTATTTACCCTGTGCCATCGTCAAGGCCTACAAGCAGAGAACGTTTATAACACTGACGTTGGTTGATGTCACCCTGTAGGAATTTGAGTTGCTTTCTGTTCAATGCACAGTGACTGGATGCACAAGTAGAATTGTGCCGTGGACGCCATGTTTGTCGTTGGGTAGACAAACACCGCAAATGAGGATAGGTGGGATTTACCTGCTGTTGTAATTCTCGTAGACTCTTCTACTAATACGCATTAAAAGGCAACGCATTGTTCTCCAAGGCAACGCATTCAAAATGAGGCGACTTGGATTTTTGATGCCTGTCGTACTGATGTGTGCATTGAGATGCCTCATCAGCACACCTGGGGTAGCAGCACAAACAGGTAGGTCACTTTGATCTCATAATTAGCGATGGTGTATGTGTTGCTTGAAGTGAGGGTCAAAGGGAATTCAGTTTTCACAAATATGGATTCCCGTGACTGTCCCCAGCCAGGATAAATTCCTATTACTTTTGTTTAAACGTTCATCCAGAACAGCTTGAAATAAGATCAAAATTTTTTAACAGGATTAAAAACATCGCCCTAAGAAAATGGAATATATAGAAGAAGAAAGCAAATACGTTATGTCTTCGAGCTTTGAGTTGTACACCAAGTACACCAAGGTGTATAATTTTAGGTTTCGCGTATGACATATTAAATGATACCTTTTCATTTTCTTAGTCTCAGTTCGTCTTGTGGGTGGAACGTCCTTTAACGAAGGACGTGTAGAGGTGTACTACCAAAGCCAGTGGGGTACAGTTTGTGACGATTATTGGGACCTTGATGACGCTAATGTCGTCTGTGGAATGCTTGGCTTACCTCCTGCAACTTATGCCTGGAGCAATGCTCACTTCGGTCAAGGATCTGGTCCTATTTCTCTTGACGACGTCAGTTGCTATGGCAACGAATCAAACATCGCTGACTGCAAACACCGAGCCTGGTTTAGTCATAACTGTGGACATAGTGAAGATGCAGGAGTTACCTGTGGCGGTGACATCATGACAACGCAAAGTTCAGGTTTGTTTATTTGAAATTTTAATTTCTTTTATGGCTAACATTTTGATTCAGCTCCAGTGTGTAAACAGAATGTCTATTTAAGTCGTTTAACACTATCTCGTATAAGTTTAGGTTTTAGGTATTATTATTTTTCAATTATTACATATTTTCTCAGTGACAGTCTCAGTGCGTCTTGTTGGTGGAACGTTCTCTGCCGAAGGTCGTGTCGAGGTGTACTACCAAAGCCAGTGGGGTACAGTTTGTGACGATTATTGGGACCTTGATGACGCTAATGTCGTCTGTCGCATGCTTGGCTTACCTCCTGCAACTCATGCCTGGAGCAATGCTCAGTTCGGTCAAGGATCTGGACCTATTGTTCTTGATGATGTCAACTGCTATGGCAACGAATCAAACATTGCTGACTGCGAACACCGAGCTTGGTTTTTTCATAACTGTGGACATGGTGAAGATGCAGGAGTTACCTGTGGTGAAACTATGACAACGCCAAGTCCAGGTAATATCATATCAATTCCTCTCCGTGTGTAGAACGTGCAGTATGGAATTCTCCACTGTTTGTTTATTTGTTTTGGAGTATGTTTTAATCACTCGGAGAGAAATGGCAGGACGCTGCATGATGGATAAACTACTTCTGAAGGAGTATGTTTGAAAGCGTCAATTGCGTGATAGAGGATGAGCAAAGTGTATAGTTTTGTACCACTGGTGTTCTGTGTAATGTGCAACAAAAATGGCGCATTCTCTTAGCTCACATTGTTAGATAAAAATGATGCAATAGTGGTGGTGAAATAGTGGTGAAATGTCATTTGCGCCCGCAGTTTTGGTTCATCCACCTCAAATCAAGCGTTTCGTTATGCTAGTCATAACGTTCAATCGACTGTTAGCCTCTCCTGGGAGAAATTTCTGTGAATCCCTTGGAAAACTTACAAGATTTGCAAATGGTCATGCCTGGAGCAATGTTCACTTTGGTAAAGGATCTGGACCAGTTATTCTTGATGATGTCAGCTGCTATGGCAACGAATCAAACATTGCAGACTGCGAGTACCAAGCCTTGTTTATTGATAACTGTGAATTAACATTATGAAGATGCGGGAGTTCCCTTTGGTGAATCCATGACAACACCAAGTCCAGGTTGATTTATTCAAAATACGTTTACGTTATTTATCTGTCTGTCGGGCGGGCTGTCTGTCTGTCTGATTGATTCACGGATATAAAATATACAAACATGTTTCTGTTTCAGTTTCCTGCTTTGAGGCAAATTAGATGAAAACACAACGGCCTTTTCCACAGTCAAATTTAGGCTTCTTAGATTTATCTTGTGCAAAATCCATGCACTACAGGGCTATCCGAGTGCGTGAACAACGCAGTGATGTAGTCGAGTACTTTTTGAGAACCAAGTTCTCTACCAAATATTTAACTAGTTAGGAGGGAACAAAGCTGAAGTACATTGCCATTTGATGGTACATGCATAAAGCTAAGATTACAAAGCAACATAATGACTTCAGACCATCACTGTTTGATTAAAATTAACTTTTTAGGACAAAAGTACTCGGCCGATTACTTTCCAAGTACTTTTCTTCTTAAAACTTAAATTTTACACAACTGGGAGTGTCTGAAGTCTAACATTTATTTTGTAATCTTACCTTTGCACATTTACCATCAAATGCCTGTGCACTCAGGCTTTATTCCCTCTTACCCAGTTCAGTATTTTGCGGACAACGTTGGTACTCGGAAAATACTCGACTACAACACTGGAACAACGTGCTCGTAGGGTCTGTCTACATGTGAACATGCAATACAGGTGCTCCTTTCAAAATTGTAGGTTCCCTCGGCAAGAGTTTTCAGTTAATTGACAAGGAAGTAATACGCCTCTTCAATTCTTCCATTATTCATGGAAATAAATCCATCGAAAACTACAGCATGGGGGATAGGCCCTATTTTGAAAATTAAATGAGACTGTTATTTACTTTCTTTCAAGCAGGAATTTCAAGAACTTATTCGGCAGCCCGAGTTTGGTGATATTACTAATCATGTAACCTTATGCTGGATAGGTTTTCAGTAGCACTATGGATGTATCTCTTTTTGAGTATGTGGGGTTCTGAAAAGAACTGGTGGTACAGTCCGACTGACCGACCGACAGCCCGACAGAAAGATTAATGTTACAATTATTACATATATGCTCATTCTCAGAATCACTCTCGGTGCGCCTTGTTGGTGGAGCGTCATCTGACGAAGGTCGTGTCGAGGTGTACTACCAAGGCCAGTGGGGTACAGTTTGTGACGATGGGTGGGACCTTGATGACGCTAATGTCGTCTGTCGCATGCTTGGCTTGCCTCCTGCATCCCACGCGTGGAGGAATGCTCACTTCGGCCAAGGATCTGGTCCGATAGCTCTTGATGATGTCAGTTGCTTTGGCTACGAATTAAACATTGCTGACTGCCAACACCGAGCCTGGTTCAATCATAACTGTGGACATAGTGAAGATGCAGGAGTTACTTGCAATGGTGAAACCACAACGTCGCCAAGTCCAGGTTTGTTAAATTGAAAATTGCTGTTATTGCAAAAATTGTGATTAGGCTTCTGTTAACAGAATTTCCACATAAGACATTTGATACCATCTGATACCATCTGATATCAATTCAGTGAATCATAGACCCATAGTGATTGATTTACAAGTATGAAACCAGTTAAAATTATTATTTATTAAAATTCAGTCAAAGACTATTGCAAATTTCTAAACAACCCACTTACTACAACCACGAAAACAATGACGCCAACACCAACAACAAATACATATATTGCACCCCCAGGAGCCGCAAGCTAAATTGTCAACTAAAAGGATAAAAAATCACTAAAAAAGATTACTTGCATTAATTATTTTGATCATTTGCGGGAGTGCCAACTTTTCGTATCTGGAAGTACGGCAAATTGGGTTAAAGAGACCACAATTGCTTCTAAGAGGGCGGAAATTTGGTAAGGAACTACAAAGTGGAGGGAGAAAAGATCTGTGTCTTGAGCGCACTAAGGTTCCGGCAATTTTCTCTAACATTTGATTTCGCCGTTGTTTTAATGACCCTCTCGTGGTATAATTTCACACGACAGACAGAAAAACAGCCTGATGACCGACCAACAGACAGATTAATTTTAGAATTATTACATATATTCTCATTTTCAGAACCAGTCTTAGTGCGCCTTGTTGGTGGAGCGTCCTCTGACGAAGGTCGTGTCGAGGTGTACTACCAAGGCCAGTGGGGTACAGTTTGTGACGATTATTGGGGCCTTGATGACGCTAATGTCGTCTGTCGCATGCTTGGCTTACCACCCGCAACTCATGCCTGGAGCAATGCTCGCTTCAGTCAAGGATCTGGACCTATTGTTCTTGATGATGTCAGTTGTAATGGCAACGAATCAAACATTGCTGACTGCGAACATCGAACCTGGTATAGTCATAACTGTGATCATAATGAAGATGCAGGAGTTACCTGTGGTGAAACCATGACAACATCAAGTCCTGGTAAGTCTGTGTTATATCAATGCCTCATCCATTTCTTGATCTTTCTTTTACCTATAAAACCCTCTCCACTGTTGGTCACATTGTCTATGTTTTGGAGTATGTTTTTTACCACTCAGAGAAAATAGGCCAGGTAGGCTTATGAAAAAATACAGTTCCTTTATTCCTAAAAGTTAGACAGTGCCTTTCAAAAGAATGTCTGTGGCTCGTTAAGTAGTTTTATACAGTGAAATATAACTTTAAATTTATCATATGACATATTTCTGGCACTCTATGAGTGCCATCCGCTAATATACTTCTGACAATTCATCACGTCATGTTGACATATAAGGGAGAGCAAGGCGACATACGTCCGAAATAATCTAACCAAATCGACTTCCCAAAGGTCGATATGGTACAGTACTCGAGATGTTAGGACGTCCTTCACTTGAGTGTAGGCGCCGTGACATATTTAAACAATTTTGTACTAACTTACTGCAGTCGCCTAGGTTAAGGAACCTGCTTCTTCCATTTAAATGTGATTTTCCAGTACAATAATCGGACATGACTGGTACAGTTTTGCCATCCTGCCGTACTGAGAGATATAGGAGATCCATCATCTCATCTTTAGCTGTCATTTTATTTCTATTTCGGTATATAATATTTTATGTTATCTGTCTGTTTATGTTTCTCTTTACATGTCATTGTCTATTGTGTGGTGCTTCTGTCTGTTAATTGTCAAAGTAATTCAATTGGTCGACCAATTGGTGAATGGGAGCCCTTTAACTAGTTCTGGCTATGGCATTGATTGGCAGCGGAGGAGGGGAGGAACCCACTCAGGCACACAGGTTCTAGTGGAGAGGAGATGCTCAGATCTTGGTTTGCCTGCCTCGATGGCGTGCCATTCTGTGTGAGAATTCGACAGCGTGATCAAAAATATAAGAAGTGCAAATTACAAACTGCAGTTACCTGTCACAAAATAACAGCACATTTAAACCTATTTCCCCAAATGAACAGTGACTTGGCAATGCTGAACATAAGGGAGAAGGCTCATAAATACACATGCTGGCCAGGCACATTCATCTTTCACTCAAATCAGCCCTCAGATGAACAGGAAAAGCCATACTTCTAATTAATCTGTGTGATACAACTCCCAAAACGTACCTTGGATGGTTTACCTGAGTACATGCACTAAAATCTGACAGTGCGTAAACGCCTTATGTTAAATTATGCATTTTACATAAAACCAATGACATGGGTAGACTTGGAAAGATAATAGATGTAGAAAAGTCGTCACCCCCCCTTTGGAAAGTCGACACGAAATAATACATCTGAACAAGTTTCTAAGGCCATTCAGTTGAGACGACTGGCTAAAAAGAGATGTGCACAAGTCGTCATTACGTGAGATAATACACCTCAGCAAGGTTTAAGTCGACCTTCCCTTAAGTCAGATGACAAGGTAATACATCTCTACAAGTCGCCATATTGGCAATATGAAGTCGAAATGAAGAAGTAATTTTGGTGGTAAGTCGTCGTTCGCTCCTCTATATATCGACATGACGTGGAAATTGTCGCAGTAAAAAAATCGCAGTAAATCAAATATTATATGTACCTTTCCTTTCTCAGTTTCAATTCGTCTTGTGGGTGGAGTGACCTCTTACGAAGGTCGCGTTGAGGTGTACTACCAAGGCCAATGGGGTACAGTTTGTGATGATAGTTGGGACCTTGATGATGCTAATGTCGTCTGTCGTATGCTTGACTTACCTCCTGCAACTCATGCCTGGAGCAATGCTCACTTCGGCCAAGGATCTGGTCCGATTGCTCTTGATGATGTTACTTGCTATGGCTACGAAGCTAACATTGCTGACTGCCAACACCAAGCCTGGTTTACTCATAACTGTGGACATAGTGAAGATGCTGGAGTTACCTGTGGTGAAACAACGACAACGCCAAGCCCAGGTTTGTTAATTTGAAAATTGCTTTTATTTCTAAAATTTGGATTCAGTTGCTGTGAACAGAATGTCTATCTGTTAATTCATTGAATACCATCTCATATACATATTAGTTTTAGGTAATAAAACTTTAAAATTATTGCATATTTTTTATTCTCATTGTCAGTCTCAGTGCGTCTTTTTGGTGGAGCATCCTCTTACGAAGGTCGTGTCGAGGTCTACTACCAGGGACAATGGGGTACAGTTTGTGACGATGGATGGGACCTTGATGACGGTAATGTCGTCTGTCGCATGCTTGGCTTGCCTCCTGCAACTCATGCTTGGAGCAATGCTCACTTCGGCCAAGGATCTGGACCAATTATTCTTGATGATGTCAATTGCAATGGCTATGAATCCAACATTGCTGATTGCCAACACCGAGCCTGGTTTAGTCATAACTGTGGACATAGTGAAGATGCAGGAGTTACCTGTGGTGAATCCATGACAACGCCAAGTCCAGGTTGGTTTATTCAACAACACCTGTTCCTCTATTTAAAGCTTTCGCAAACAAAACGGTTTACATGTTCTTTTATATCATCTGATAAAACTTTATGTAGTTAGTGTGACAATGCAACAGAAATGTATATTTTCTCTTGCTTAGTCTCCGTTCGTCTTGCGGGCGGCTGGTCGTCTTACGAAGGTCGTGTCGAGGTGTACTATCAAGGCCAGTGGGGTACAGTTTGTGACGATGGATGGGACCTTGATGACGCTAATGTCGTCTGTCGCATGCTTGACTTACCTCCTGCATCCCACGCGTGGAGCAATGCTCACTTCGGCCAAGGATCTGGTCTGATAGCTCTTGACGATGTCAGTTGTATTGGTTACGAATCAAACATTGCTGACTGCCAACACCGAGAATGGTTAAGTCATAACTGTGGACATGGTGAAGATGCCGGTGTTACCTGTGGTAAAAGCATGACAACGCCAAGTCCAGGTTTGTTGGATTGAAAATTGCTTTTATTACTGACAATTTTGATTCTGCTTCTGTGTCAAACAGAATGTCTATATAAGTCATTTAAGACCATCTTGTATAAGTTTACGTCTTAGGTAGTATAATGTTACAATTATTGCATATTTTCTCAGTGTCCTCCTCAGTGTCAGTCTCAGTTCGTCTTGTTGGTGGAGCATCCTCTTACGAAGGTCGTGTCGAGGTCTACTACCAGGGACAATGGGGTACAGTTTGTGACGATGAGTGGGACCTTGATGACGGTAATGTCGTCTGTCGTATGCTTGGCTTACCTCCTGCAACTCATGCCTGGAGCAATGCTCACTTCGGTCAAGGATCTGGTCCTATTGCTCTCGACGATGTCAGTTGCTATGGCTATGAATCAAGTATCGCTGACTGCCAACACCGAGCCTGGTTAAGTCATAACTGTGGACATGGTGAAGATGCTGGTGTTACCTGTGGTAAAAGCATGACAACGCCAAGTCCAGGTTTGTTGCATTGAAAATTGCCTTTATTACTTAAAAAATTTGATTCAGCTTCTGTGTAAAACAGAATGTCTATGTAAGTCATTCAAGACCATCTTGTATACGTTTACGTCTTAGGTAGTATAATGTTACAATTATTGCATATTTTCTCAGTGTCCTTCTCAGTGTCAGTCTCAGTTCGTCTTGTTGGTGGAGCATCCTCTTACGAAGGTCGTGTCGAGGTCTACTACCAGGGACAATGGGGTACAGTTTGTGACGATGAGTGGGACCTTGATGACGGTAATGTCGTCTGTCGTATGCTTGGCTTGCCTCCCGCAACTCATGCCTGGAGCAATGCTCACTTCGGCCAAGGATCTGGACCAATTATTCTTGATGATGTCAATTGCTTCGGCTATGAATACAGCATTGCTGACTGTCAACACAAAAGCTGGTTTAGCAATGATTGTGGTCACTCTGAAGATGCTGGAGTTACTTGTGGGGAAGCCATCACAACGCCGAGTCCATGTAAGTTTACTGGCCGATGTTCATCCAAAGCTAATTTTTTAAAAACATGTTTTGTCATCTAGTGTTACTCAAGTTCACAAAGTCTTCATTTGGAGGGTTTTTGTTACATATAGCCTTTCAGTCAGGGATTTCTCAGTACTTTACAAACAGATTACATTGTATGTTACGTGACCGTATCAGAAAAAAATCCAATTTTAATGTTTTAGAGCTCACCAGTTACCCGTTAGGGCTTTTTAAATCTGAATGTGTGGTTGTATACCGCTATTACGTTAATGGTTGGTATGTTGCTCGAAACAAATGAATCCCTCGTTACAAGAAAGGCCCAACTCCACCATTATAGCCTAGGAGAGTTAATTGATTTCCTTTTCAACCCTTTCAAGAAAGTTTCTTGTTTTGAACTCAGAAAGGTTTTGTTGGAATTGGGCCCTTTTTTCAATTGGGTATTCAATTATTTGGACATGCACATACGTCGAAGAGTGCTACATAGCCGTTATTTGATCGGAATCAATACGGGTGATTCACAGTAGTGCGCCTCCAAGAGTTTGCGACGCATTGACCAATCATAGTGCCTTTCCAAACGCGCTTTGGATCGACAGATTTCATGCCCTGTGATTGGTCAACACGTTGCAACGCCCGTATTCCTTGTCACCAGAAGTTTCATTAGTCATATGGCTAATTCAGCTCTTTAAGAGAGTTACCTGAGGTAATTTCTTGGCTACAACAGCGACTGTCAAATACGGTCAAAATTATTTTGAACCACACCATGTTCTCATTTTGTTATAGTTTCGGTTCGTCTTGTGGGTGGTAGCTCCTATGAAGAGGGTCGTGTTGAGGTGTACTACCAAGGCCAGTGGGGTACAGTTTGTGATGACAGATGGGACCTTGATGACGCTAATGTCCTCTGTCGCATGCTTAACTTACCTCCTGCAACTCGTGCCTGGAGCAATGCTCACTTCGGCCAAGGGTCTGGTCCGATTGTCCTTGATGACGTTGATTGCTATGGCTATGAATACAACGTTTCTGACTGTCCACACAAAGGGTGGTTAATCAATGATTGTAGTCACTCTGAAGATGCGGGAGTTACTTGTGGTGTAGCCATCACATCACCATCTCCAGGTTGGTCTGTTTAAATTGATTTTGTACACTCCTAAAACCGTTCTGCATTCTTCAGTAAAACTGTAATGACCCCTTTCCAAACGGACCATTTGGTAAGTCCAATACAACTGAAAATCTGGTCTTACCCTATAAGTGAAAGTTCTGTCTTTCATGAATCCTGTCACTGTGTGGGTTGTGTTCAGAAATGATCTGGAGACCCTGTAGAGTCGTGCAGTGGCGTAAATTTGTGCCGGAAACTGGGGGGATGCGGGATGGGGAAAGGTGGGGGATGACACGAAAATATGAAAAGCAGGGGGTGACTCAGTATTACTCGGTAAAACCTCAAGGTCGATGTTCATGTTATTAATGTACATCTGTAATATGTGTTCAGAATGGCATTTATGACCCCAAGGAGATACAATACACTCGCACATCTTGAACAACCAGCGCTGATATAGTCGTAATTCTAAGTCCCCGTGGCAGCGCTTCACCACCATAACTGGCTTTTTTAGGGTTAAGTTACGGTCCAAGCTCCCTTCCCCACCCTACGAGCAACCCTGGGTGAACTACTGAGTCGAGGACTGACTTTGTTGACTAAAATTCATTGATTGAGACGAAGAGACTTTTGGTCGGTTATGACTCAAGGCGAGTAATTATTATTTTTGACTTTTTCTTGTATTTGTAACAAAGGATTCTTCAAGAGCACCCTAGGCACTGTTTCTCACAAGCTTGAAGAAAGTTGTTGCTATAAAATTCTCATACACGTCCAACATTTTTTATTGACGTACGGTACAGACGATTTATCCATCCTTCGTCTTATTGGGATTTTGCCATCACAAGGCACCGTGCAAGTTTGGAGTAATGGAGACTATCGCGTCCTGTGTAGCGATGGTTGGGACCAAAATGCCGCTAAAGTAGTCTGTCGCCAGGAGGGGTATCCAACCAACGCAGTGTCTGTGGTTTACGGTTCTGAGTACTTGGGTGAGTAATAATTATAGCTACAGGAATGGTATTTGTGATTTTAACTGAGAAAAGTTGACAATAGATGGCACAAAACTATCTTTTCCCTAAATTGTAGGCATGGAACTTCACTACGTTTTCTGAGAGCAAATTACAGTTGGCCATACATATACTTGCGTAAACCGTACTTTGGTGTCATTGTCGAAACACTGAACTGAGCACGAGAAGTATTTTGGTACAGAAAAATCACAACTTTGTCCGTAACTGGCAGATCTAAATCATAATGTAAAGAATTTGCTGTGGGATGGAATTACACTTGACAGTAAGTGTCATCCTTCTTACAAGGAATGCTAAAAAAGGTTTGCACACAATTTGAACATTGAAGCTTTGCAATGAGGTCTGTTTAGGAATTTTGTCTAAATGATTAGAATGAAAGTGCTTTCAGCAACTTTGCATATTAATGCAATATCCGGCAATTGGGATAGACGTGCTGATTTCGTTTTCTTATTGTGGAAACTTTTACCGAAATGAAAGGAGCTTTTGAGTCACAGCTACAGAAGTAAATTAAGCTATTTACAGTGAAGTTTTGATATAAACCAATATTGAAAAGAAAACGTGAACAATCATTTGACCCCTCAGCTACGTACATACGTAAATCGTACTTTGGTGTTCTGTACATACTCTGTGATCTCTATACAACTTAAAGATAGACACAATTGTTACTTAAAGACCCAATGTTGAATTCAGAGTTTCAGTATTTCAGAAAAACTCTAACGAACAAAGAATATAGGCACCATGGGTTTATGGACCCAATCAATTATGTTGTTTTCATTGAAGGATATTACCAAGCGTACTCTCTGTCCTGCCATGGTGATGAACATGACCTTTCCCAGTGTGCCACACCCATATACTCCTCTGCAACGTGTAGAACTGCAAAAGTGAACTGTCGCGCATACCAAGGTAAATGTATTGCCAGAGCTGTGGATAGAGAGAGTAGCGCTGACTTCAGACTTTGGGACCAAAATGGCTGTTCATTATGTGTGCAGTACAGCATGCAGCTATTGTGTACCAAGTGCCCATGTGGGCATTAAGGCATAATCGTCCATTTTGGTTCCAACAATGAAACACTCGTGTTGCAACTCTCTCTATAAACAGCTCTGGGTATTGCTTTATTTTATGTGAGAATTGCATGCATCGTACATTCCCAACAAAGTACATTACTATTAAGACAGAACTGAATGAGATGATGGTACATACCTGAAATAATGGGAGGGTTCACGACCTTTATCGAATTTCGTCTCAGATATTGATTAATGTCTTAAACGTTTCGATGCCTGTGATGACTGAAGGGCTTGTCATTCGTTATGATTCACTATACATTTCTGTGTTGATCTTTGCTAGGCCTGTCAACCGGCGCCGTCACTGGTATCAGTGTAGTGTCTGCAGCGACGGTGATCTTTATCGTCATCATTGTCGTCATAGCTTTAGCCAGAGACAGGCGCAGAAAGCCCTCGCAGACATCCAACATGAACATACCCTTGGAAACTGCCGTGCCGCCACTGGCGACAGATCCGAGTTTTCCCGGGAGCATAGGCATCAGTAACCCTGTTTATGGGGAGACTTCCCTGGACACCACCAGGGTACTACCCAATGCCCTTCAGCAACCAGCCCCGACCAATTCCATCCCACCCACAGTCTAGTTGGGCTCACTTGTATTCTCCCGTAGGGGTGTCCCCCGTACCAAACGCTGGTAGTGTCCAGACTCCACACTCGTCAACCATCACCCCAAACCCAGTTTGACCCAGATCCACCCATGGCTCAGTCGTCTGAACCAGCGTATGAGTCATCTTTGCGCTCTGCCACCACCGATATTTCTGTTCAGGTAAAAGGTGTCAGTGGAAACAATGAAGTGAGCACGAGAAGTATTATGGTACAGAAAACTCACAACTTTGATCGTAACTGGCAGATCTAAATCATAATGTAAAGAATTTGCTGTGGGATGGAATTACACTTGACAGTAAGTGTCATCCTTCTTACACAGAATGCTCAAAAAAAGGTTGCACACAATTTGAATATTGAAGCTTTGCAATGAGGTCTGTTTTGGAATTTTGTCTAAATGATTAGAATAAAAGTGCTTTCAGCAACTTTGCACATTAATGCAATATCCGGCAATTGGGACAGGTGTGCCGATTTCTTTTTCTTATTGTGGAAACTTTTACTGAAATGAAAGGAGATTTTGAGTCACAGCTACAGAAGTAAATTAAGCTATTTCCAGTGAAGTTTTGATATAAACCAATATTGAAAAGAAAACGTGAACAATCATTTGACCCCTCAGCTAGAATGCACCATTAAAATACGCTCAATATTTGCTCGCGTGTGATCATTCCATAATCGAAATATCTTACTTTATTACTTTAGTTTGCAGCACAGATAATCCGGGAGCAGAATTAAGCTTTTCCTGTTTTATTGTTTATTGGTAACAAAGTGTCTACTTTTCAGACTCTCTGTTTTGCATAATGTTTTGAGCTTTTAATTGCATTTATGAAATCTATGCAGCCGTGTCAAGAGGGAGCAAATTATTTCATTAGAGCTGAGGTTTTTAGTTGTTGCATCCGAAGGATCAAATTTTATTCTCCACCATTCGCAATTTTGACCTCTCACCTCCCCCAATCGCTGTATAGTGTAGTTATTGAATAACATGCAGATCTTATTCCTTTGTGCATTATTGTGAGAAAAGAATAATTGGTACAGTTTGAAACGTTTTATCCAATCGGTGAAGTATGATTCAATTTGAAGCTAAGTGTGTGAAAAAAACACGTCTTGTATTTCAGGCTTCTTTGCTTTTGAAAATATAAACTTTTTGACACGGAATATGAAAATACGTGTCTCGTGTTTGTATCAAACACAGACGAGAGTCACGGGAATTAGTTAAAGGGTGTTAATTAAAAATGTATACTGTTCATCATTACAATTCTTTGTGCTTACTCAGAGGAGATATGCTTTCATAATGTGTTTGCAGGTTGAAGTGCAACATTATTTTTCAGTTAACTTTGTATTTTAAAACTGTACAGATTCTAAGAAAAATAAAATAACAGTATTTTCTGCTTTCAGTGGTTCACAATTTAAAGTTAGGTGTGTGAAAAACAGCTCTTGCATTTTAGTCTTTTTAAAATGTAAGCTTTGAGGTGTCGAGCGTTGATGTGTTAATTGGAAAGATGAAAAGTTCATTGTTATAATTTTTTCTTTGTTTAAAATGTATTAAAAGTTAATTTTTTGGCGTACTCAAATTATATGAGGTATTATATGAAAGTTTTCCGGTATTAAACATTATTAAACGGCTATTTTACTGCACTTTGTACTTTAAAACTTTATAGATTTTAAGAAGAATACGATATATATCATCTTAACCTTTTGATTAAGTTAATGTCTTCTCAAGTATTCACTGACTTTGTATAACTAAAAAAAAAGGAATTATCAATTGATCAGTGCCTTTTTCCTGTCAAATTTGCTTCGAAAAAGCACAGTACGCAGACAATTTCGTTGTAATTATACTCAGCTATTGATGGAGAGTAAACATCGGGAAAAGAGTAAAAGGAGAAATTTGATTGTTTAAACACGCTGCTGGTGCTTCAAACATCATTAGTTTTACTGATAACTTTTTACACTTGACGAGTCCAGATTCTACATTTCATGTTGAATTTACATGAATATGTCGACATGCCCCTGGGGTATTCAACCAATCAAATCCGACTTACAGCTACATGCATGTGGGTGAACAGGTAAAGTGTCTTGAACTTTCAATCACAAATCATTTGAAAACATTGACACAGGATGAATGCAAAGAGTCTGGAGCGTGTTTGTTTGTTTAACTAGAAAACGCCTTTGTTCATTCTTATCTATAATCGAAATCATTAACTCACCATTTACAAATATTCCAAAGGACTGCATTTTGCCCTTGATTGAGAGCAAACACGACCCATAAATGTACCAACACTTACCTTTTAAGCACATTTCTAGTGCGATGAAGTATTTATTTTGTTTCTTTAGATAATGACGTCTTTCGGGTGTACTCGTTCATCCGCATCGGTGATGAAAGTGAATTTCCTGGCCGTGCCACACAAAATATTTTGTGAACCAGCGAGAAAATTTGCCCAGCAGGTAAAAACATCGATTTGTCTTGGTATTTAGGTGTGATTTAGTTTAAAACCGAATTAATATAATGAATGATTGAGCCAGGCAAATGAAAATACAGTGATCAGGCCGGGTTGGTCGGTGACGCCTATAATTAGCTAAGGCTTTGATTGTATATGATGCAGTATATTCCTGTGTTTTTGACTATTCTTTCGAGGCCTCACAACCTGGTATGGTGGAGATGTTGGTCGACCCATCACCTGCGCATTAGCAGCAGTAGATCTTAGTTTATACCAGACACGAAATGGAACCAAGGGGTACCCCCCAACAAGTCCAATCCCTATACAGGGTGTCTCAGAAAAAACCTAACCCTGAGGAAAGGGGTTAATATGCCCAGACCATGAGATATGATTATAATGTATAAGGATCTCTGAAAAGTAGAAGCAGTATTCTTTTAATTATACCTTGATGGTATCCCTCCTGTCACGCATGACTATACACCATTGTCTTGAAAATGGGGCATCCGAACTCAGTTGTAACACTTTGGATAAACCAGTGAATGAGGTTGTCCTCTGCCATGCGTGCCCTGGATAAGATATCAGGGGCACACCGATTATTTACACATTACGTAATTCACAGTTAATTATGCACCGACACCTTCCGCGTGTCTAAGTCCATTCCTACTGCAACTGTTCCTGCAGCAATGTTTTCAGGAGTTCGCACTTTGCGCCTCCTTCCCAAATGACTCTTATTCAAATTAAGGCCTGTCCCACGTTTTCGGTATTTGCGCGCATATTTCCAGATGTTCAACTTTACCGGTGGATCCCTATAAGGGAAGACTTCCCTAAATGCAGCTTGAGTGGCTTGAAAGCTCTTGTTTTCAAGAAATTTCGTCACGACAAACACTCTTTGCTCTTTGGTAAGTAGCGCCATGTTGCAGACTTGCTTTATGCTTCAAACACTTTTCAACACTGCACTGGCCTACCTCAGGGCAGGTCAACACATTTAAATTAGATTATTGCAAAACTTAAAAATGACAATCTTCCCTAATTAGCATGACCTTTTGTTTTCACTTTCAACCAGGACAAGCTTGAATTAAATCTGTATTTACATTATCGACTTTTTTGCAATGAAAGACTTTTTGGCAATGAAAGCGCCGGAGTTTATTCAAAGCAACAGTTCGTAAAAACCAACAGCTATGGGAATGCTAACAGATTTCTGGAGGCTTTGTTATGTTAATACGACGAAGGCATGATGGCGGCTTTAACCTGGCGCAATAAAGGCGTCGTCTATAAAAGACGGCCAACGTGTAATGAATTATCAATCAAGACTGAAGATATTTTAATCGAATTGAGGCAGATTGACGTTACTAGTTCGAGTTAAATGGAAGACATCAGACACTATCAGGTAAGAATCTAGGGAGAAGTGAGGTAAGGTTGGTCCTTGATGGAACACTTGTAAATGAACAGGCAAACAGTGGGCTTCGAACAGTAGTACTCGACACCATGGAAGATACATGTATTGATGGCAAAAATGGTTAAACTGCCGCTGGTCAGGCAGTTTCCAATTGGTGCCGTGCTCAAAATGTGGTGATTTTTTATCTCCTGGGATTTGTAGGATTCCTTGGAAACCAATCGAGGCAAGTCAATCCATACAATGGCTGTTCTCTAAACCAAATTGCCCAAATTTTGACTGATGTGAAGGTTATATCAAAATGAAATATTTAGTTTATTGTTACAGTACTACCATAGTATTCATCCATTCGATCTGAAAAAAACGGTTATATTATACCAAAAATGTATAAATGAATGCACAACGACAATAAGCCCCATAGCCCGGTGCTATAGCCAAGGCCAGCGAGCAGAGAACCTTTATAACACTGACGGAATTCGATTTGCCTTCTGGTCAACCATTGCGACTGACTGAAAAAGTAGAACTACGCCATTGACGCCATGTTTGTCGTCGAGTAGCCACGGTAAAAGAAGTCGGTTGTAATTCTCGTGGACTCTTAAACAAGACGCGTCGTTCTCCAAGGCAACGCATCGAAGATGAAGAGACTTGGATTTCTGATGCACTTCCTGGTGATGTGTACATTGAGAACTCCCCTCAGCATATCCAGTGTAGCAGCACAGGAACAAGCGGGTAGGTCACTCATCGGTGAATTGCGATATACCATACAAGCGTAAATCAAAGGAAATAAATTATTTACAGATGACATAACGTAATTTTAGTGCATTCATTCCCGTTCTGCTGTTATCCTTGTGATGTGTAGAAAGGAAATCTGGTATTATTTTAGCGGAAGTGTAAAGACTATCTTTTTTGAGGAAAAATGGGGAATGCATTATTTATTGCCATGTGTAGGTGTTCAGTGCCTTTCTCGGGATAGACGAAGTGTAGCGCAATTGGCTCCTGGGGGGTCCAGCTTCTGGCAGCAAAAGTGTGAAGTGCATAATTATTTTCTTCTCTCAGTTTCAGTTCGCCTTGTTAATGGATCATCCTTCAACGAAGGTCGCGTAGAGGTGTACTACCGAGGCCAGTGGGGTACTGTTTGTGACGATGGATGGGACCTTGATGACGCTAATGTCATCTGTCACATGCTTGGCCTACCGCCTGCAGTTCTTGCTTTGGGCAATGCTCCTTTCAGCGAAGGATCTGGGCTGATTGCTCTTGACGATGTCAGTTGTCAAGGCAACGAAACAAACATTGCTGACTGCCGACACCGAGGCTGGTTTAATCATAACTGTGATCATAGTGAAGATGCAGGAGTTATCTGTGGTGGAAGCACAACGATTGCGACAAGTCCAGGTTTTGTACATTCAAAAATGGCCTTCCCCAATTTTTCTTAAACTTGAATCTGGCAGTTTTGTCTTTTGAATCTTGCATTGCCTTTCAAACTAATTTTGCTGACTCGTTAAGTCACTTTCCCTTTCGATAACTTTAGTTTTATACACACGTCCTACGCATAAAATGCATCTCATATTTTCTTTTTTTTCTTAGTTGTAGTTCGCCTTGTTAATGGAACATCCTCCAACGAAGGTCGTGTTGAGGTCAACTACCAAGGCCTGTGGGGTACAGTTTGTGACGATGGATGGGACCTTAATGACGCTAATGTCATCTGTCGCATGCTTGGCTTACCTCCTGCAACCCATGCTTTGGGCAGTGCTCCTTTCAGTGAAGGATCTGGGCTGATTGCTCTTGACAATGTCAACTGCCAAGGCAACGAAACAAACATTGCTGACTGCCAACACCGAGCCTGGTTTAGTCATAACTGTGATCATAGTGAAGATGCAGGAGTTATCTGTGGTGGAAACATAACGATCGCGCCAAGTCCAGGTTTGTACGTTCACAAATGTCCTTTTCCGTTTTTCTTTAACTTAAATCTGGCAGTTTTGTATTTTGAATCTTGCATAGCCTTAAAACAAATGCTGTTGACTCTTTTAGGCATTTTCCAATTCGAAATAACTTCAGTTTCGTAAAAACGTAGTACATGTGAGATGTGTCGCCTATTTTCTTTTTTCCTTAGTCGTGGTCCGTCTTGTTAATGGAACATTCTCCAACGAAGGTCGTGTAGAGGTGTACTATCAAGGCCTGTGGGGTACAGTTTGAGACGATGGATGGGACCTTGATGACGCTAATGTCATCTGTCGCATGCTTGGCCTACCGCCTGCAGCTCTTGCTTTAGGCAATGCTCCTTTCAGCGAAGGATCTGGGCTGATTGCTCTTGACGATGTCAGTTGTCAAGGTAACGAATCAAACATTGCTGACTGCCGACACCGAGGCTGGTTTAATCATAACTGTGAACACAGTGAGGATGCAGGAGTTATCTGTGGTGGAAACACAACAATTACACCAAGTCAAGGTTTGTTTAATAATCAAATGGCCTTTTCCTTAATTTCTATAACTGTCCGCGGCATTTCCTTCTGTTAATATGACAGTTTAAGCATATTGTTGCGATTTGTCAGGTCACTTGAGTCCTTATACAATACAACATCAGGTGTGATGTATTATTTGCAATATATATTACTCATCTTCTTTTCTTAGTTTTAGTTCGACTTGTGGGTGGAACGTCCTCCAACGAAGGTCGTGTGGAGGTGCACTACCAAGGCCAGTGGGGTACAGTTTGTGACGATGGATGGGACCTTGATGACGCCAATGTCGTCTGTCGCATGCTTGACCTACCACCTGCGACTCATGCTTGGGGCGATGCTCACTTCGGTCAAGCATCTGGACCGATTGCTCTTGATGACGTGAATTGCTATGGCTTCGAGTCCAGCATTGCTGACTGTCGGCATGGAGGCTGGTTTAGCAGTGATTGTTGGCACTTCGAAGATGCAGGAGTTACTTGTGGGGGAATCACAACTACACAAATGCAAATAACAACAACACAGACTCCTGGTGTGTACAATTTATTATGTTTTTTTTTCCATTCCAATAATCTAATGCAGCTATAAACGAACTTTTCTCAAAGTAGTTTTAGAAGACTTATAAGCCCAGTAATATATCTCTTCAACACACTTCTTGTCCAAATCGCTTTTTATCAGAAAAGTTGACTTTACTCTAAATGAAATTTGTCTCTATCTTATATGATCTTCGTGAATTGGGACTTGGGGATACAAGTTGCAATTGTTTTGCTAAGCTATCAAATAGTAATAAGAATACGGCGATTGCTGGTAGTTTATGTTTAGGTCGCTCGTATTGGTCTATTCGTCTTCGAGTTTGTGATGAAAGTTTGTCGTGGAATGGCTTAGTGGCTTTGTTCTTAAGTTGTGCTTGTTATGAAAATGATCTCGAGGTTGTGTAGGTTTAAGACATGTTGCACTTGAATTTACAAGAAGACCACCCTGCCACATGTCGCAAGTCAATCTTAAACCAGTTTTAAAGCCCGGCTGGAGAGTGGAGCGATGACATTATTACTCCAGTAAGTTCTGACTTGGCGAGTGATTGGTTGAGGTCAGGTTGAGTTCTGATTGACTCGAGAGGGGTTGCGATTTTACAACGATCTTGACAGGTACAGGCGATGTTTCCAACATTCGCCTTGACGGGGATTCACCAACACAAGGCACGGTGCAGGTTTGGAGCAATGGTCAGTATGTGGACCTGTGTAGCGATGATTGGGACCTGAATGCCGTGAAAGTAGTCTGTCGCCAGAAGGGCTACCAAACCAACGCGGTGTCTGTGGTTTACAACAGTAATAATTGGGGTGAGTAATGTAACCGCAGCGATGTCAGTAATGCTTGGGGTTTAAAATGAGCAACATTGACTAATAATGAACCGGAAAAAAACTTCCCCAAATTGTTAGCACACAGTTCTCCCATGTTTTGTGGGGCCCAGTCACATTGCATGCTATGTCTCTTTCTTTAATGCTCTGCTCAGATAAAACTGACAGAAGTGTTACCCAAACACCCTGTGTTTGATTTGAATTATCTTTTAATTAAAAGAAATTTCAGAGAAAGTGACCATATATTCAGAAAGCCCTCAAAATATCACAAAGATGCGTGTGGTTTTTGAAATACAGTCTTTGTACTCAACCAATCATTTTGTTTTTCTGTTAGGTCATTACAAAGCATATTTACTGTCCTGCTCTGGTAATGAGGATGAGCTTTCCCAGTGTGCCACGCCCTCGACTTCGTACTCTAGAAAATGTAAAACTGCAACAGTGAACTGTAGCGTATACCTAGGTAAAAGCAATCAGATTTCTCTATACATGCATATATATTCTTAATTACCATGATTACATACCCAGCAAATAACATGTTACGCAGGACTAAATGAGATAAATGGTCAATAGCCGATGCAACAGATGGGTTTAAGTCTATTGCCGTATTTTCTCTTATTGATCTACTCATTTGGTACCACTATGATGTCTGTCATCTGCAAAAGCTGTAAATAATTTACGATTCAATGTATCTCTCTGCGTGGATCTTTCTAAGGCTTATCACCCGGCGTAGTCGTTGGTATCGCTGTTTCCTCTACATTGGCGGTGATTGGTATTGCCATCATTGTCGTCATAACTTTAGTCAGAGGCAGTCGCAGAAAGCAGTCACAGACATCCCACAGCATGAACATACCCTTGGCAACTGCAACACAGTCACCAGTACCTAATCCAAGTTCTTCCAGGACCCTGGGCTTCACTTACTGTGCTCACGGGGAGACCTCCCTAGCCCAGCCCGTTTCTCGTCGTCCACAACCCCCAGAATACTCAACGACCATCAGCGACCAGCCTCAACCCACTCCATCCAACCAACCTTCTACTTGGGATCGCTTGTATTCTCCCGTAGGGACCTCTCCCATACCAAATGCTGAGATACATCCGTCTAGATTTTCCCAAATGTCTTGTACATTGTCACCCTACCCCAATGTAGGTCCTGATCCACCGCCCCGAGATAAATCTGTTCAAGATTCACCAGCGGCTCAGTCCCCTGGGTCTATAGAACACGGAGAGTGGTCTGAACCAATCTATGAGACAGTGTTGCGTTCTTCCATTAGTCAGTAGAACACAAAGTGTCCCCCGAAACACAGAAAGTCTAGATGACAATGAGAATACCACTTTTTAGGTATCAGGTGTCAACACAGAGGATAACATGTCTGTGTAAGCATGATAAGAACCAATCACATTTTTTATCCTAACTGACGGATCTACATCGTAACGAAAGCAACTTGTGAGAAGAATTTCTTTTTTCCAAAATTAGAAAGGTAAACACAGAGTAATTATTCACACAGCACTGCTTTAAAAATGTCACGCACAGCGTTGACTCTAGGATTAAAAATCAAATTTTTACCCCTCAGCTAGATTTTACCCTCTTCACTTCGATGATTTATTTCATATTTGCTTGTTTATATCATTTACTATTGAATTTTTTTTTATTTTCTGAAGTTGTTTGCAGGGCAACATTATTCGGTTGGTTGTTTTATTATTTGTTTTTTAAGCAAGTGTCAACTCAGTTTATATTGAATGTTTTGTGAAGTAATGATAGCATTTTAAATATTTTCAGCTGTTTTAAAGGGGAGCAATGTTACTTTACATCAAAGAGCAGGTTTTGATATTTGAGGTATCGGAAGACTCGTTTATCCACCGAATATTTCAATTTAATCCGTATGGTGCTGCCACATTATGCAGGGTTCCATGCTTCCCTTCCTTTTTTATGTGGCTTAAAATATTTTGATATATTCAATCGCAAATTTTAAATTCTTCATCAGCGTAGATGACATAATTATGCAGGATGATAAAATTGTATTTCAGTGCTTCCATTTTTATATACTCAGGTGCCAAGATAAAAAGGTTTTCAAGTCAATATGGTCGACTGGCAAATAAGACCAATTCGAAGGAGAGCGTGTTGTGTGGTATACTTTGTCCATCTTCAAACATTTTGTCCAGTCACGGAAGCCCGATTTACGTTTTGTATTAAAGTTACAGTTCAATATTGTATACGAAGTCGTCGCTTTGAAAACTGATGGTGCATATAATTAGCCTAAGAAGAGAATTGGGTCTTCTTTTCCGATGGTTGTTTCCACGTCCACTCTTAACTCTTCTACTAGATCCGCTGCCCTACCCATCGCATTAGAACAATTAATCAATTACAGATTGTGTTAAAATGTGTAAATTGAAATACACAAAACTATCAACAAATCTTTAAACATTTAGACGTTGAAATATGTCTTTCTGCCAATGTTATTTCCTTGGTACGTGGCCTTCACGTTTGTTCAATTGAAAACCAATACTTTGCGTTTCATTGGAAGTCGTTCAAAGCAACGGTTGAGTGAAACACCAGAGCTGTAAGAACGTGAAGAGGCATATGGAGAGCTTTTGTTATTTAAATATTGGATACGACGAATGCGTCACAGGGAACGGCTGTATATCCTGGTACAACAAAGCATAGTCCATAAAAGGTGAGGCGCCACTCTTGCCAGGGTAATCAATGCATGATTACAAGCTGTATCTCTGGTTGGAATCCAGGCAGAAGTGAGGTTGGTTTAGTTCTTTGCGTTTATATTGGTAATATAAATGCAGATAGTGGGCGTATAACGGAACCAGCTCAATTGCATAATACCCTTCCACCCCGCATGATCAACCTCGTAGCCAGGTACAGGTCAAAGTGTCACACCCTTCTCAAGGGATTTCACCTTGTACCCACGTAACCAGTCATTCCAGGGGTCGTTTTTTAGAGTGACAGGGTATTCTGCAAATAACTCCCCGGTACTCGACACCTATACCATGTAGTGATGTCAAAACGGTTTTATAGCTACCACTAATACTTCCTACTATTCCTGCTGCTCATGTGCTTAAGACATTGCGATTGCTCTGTCCCGTGACGGAAAGAGCAATCGCAATGATACCGACGAATTGTGATACATTTCAGGGTTGTATCGTGGTAACAATTTTACTTTATGACGGACGTGGTCGATTCCATTGATAAAATCATTATGATTATTGAACTAATAAACAGTAGGAAAAATATTGACAACACTGTGAATGAGCTCCATCAAATTTGTTAAAGCAATTAAAATGCAATTTAAATCTTACTACAAATAGGCCTAGATCAGTATGTCATTGCACAAGAAATGTGTGGTCGAGTTATTGGTTAGTGAATAACCAATCGGAGCACTGAAGTACAAGTGTTGGGGCAAATTCATTTTCCTGTTGACCTTTGACCCTATCAAGTGTCTAATATGGCCAAGTAAAGCAGGAAATGTGTTTGTTTAGGAGACATTGCTAAAGCTTAGCTACGGTTATAGAAAGTTACATTGTCAAACATTTGGTTAGAAGAACGTCTTAAAATGTTTGTGAACAACTTCATAAATAGGCCCATATTACACCAATTATGGCATTGTGCAAGTCTTTTGTATGCTATTTTTATGTACTTCATTTCTATATCCACGAGATATTCTCTATTTATTTTATCTAGACCTTTTCCAAAAATATTTTTGCTGTTTATTTATTTACATGAAAATACCCGGAGGAAAAGTTACATTCTAAAAACCATGTTGCATCTATTTGTTTTCCTTCCGTGGCTGTAGTCATAATTTAACCAACCGATTATAGTTTTAAAACTTGATATATTTTAACTTTTAAAGACGTGTCCAAAACGAGTTTCCAGAGCTACGGCTAGGTCTATAATTGTCTGCACATCTCCACGTATATCCAATGTAGTGAAGACATGTAGACTTAGGTCTAGGTAACAGATTTGGATGTAGCCCAAGTTATTTTCTGTCGTCATCTCGATTTATGGTGATTTGCATACGTTACCGACCAACAGAAGTCCATCACGAATATTTTTGAGAACAAAGTACAGCCGACCATAAGAGTGAGAGACAAGCAGACTTTGTATATGCAGTGGATGGATTTCACACTGCAACGCCGGTAAATGGTTCCTAATATCATGTGAAACTGAAAGATAACACAGCCATGTGCATAGTATAATACAGTACTCCACGGTTGCTTGGTTGATGATCACGGATCTGTGCACTGACGTCAGGCGTCGTCAGCCGTTTGCAGTTTCAGATTAAATGTGCAGGTAGAACTGCACAATCGCCGCCATATTTACTTCTAAGTTCGTGGCAAACGAGGTTGCTGTGTCCGTTCCAAATCTTGTACACAGTTGTTCGTGGTTTCGTAGTTCGCCAACGTTTGCAAGATGATGGAATTTCTACGATGTTCCTTGCTTGTGTGTGCACTGCATTTTCTCGTCAGCACACACTGGGTATCGGTACAGGCAACAGGGGGTAAGTCACCGTGAAAAAAACGGCACCAAAGTGTTTTAAAATTGATCGTGGTGTATTCCTTTGAATTTCATTTTACCACATAAGATGGGGGTCCTGTTAGGCACTCTTTCAGTAGAAATGCTATTCGTATTCACGTTGTTAATTGATTTGGTCTGTTTAATTTCAACGGACGTCTGATTAGTATGTAGTTTTGTGGATAAAGACGTGAGAAGGTCATGTGGTATTTTCCTCGCCGATATTACGTACGCCTTTTAGCCTCTCCCATTGCTTTTCTCAGAGGGAATTTTGATCACAGTTCTTGAAGAGTTTCCCACAAGGCTTAAGCGCAAAGATCTAGCAGCAAGTCTCACAAATTATTCAACTGACCCCCGTCATGCAATTGACGTCAGTCAAATATGAAGGGCATTCAGGCATACGGTTAAACATTAACAATGCAACAGTAGAGATGTCCTGGCCAGATATCACGGGAGATAAGCTTGAGTATGAAATTACCATCTCATGCTTTAAACTCCCACAAGTTGCCCAATCGCCTACACTAAATTATTAGGGTATAATGAGCGTACACAAAATTCAGTCTAATCTAATAATGAATTGAGGAAAAGGTTTGCGGTAATACCATGTAAAGATATCTCTTTGTAAGTGTGTCTGGTTCTAAAAAGAACAGGAGGGTACTCGACCTTTCGGACAGTATGCTCTGTCCTCTGCAGAGGTTCCAATGATGAAGCAGCTTTTATAGTGTCTGGAGGCAGTGAGGTGCAAAGAAGATGCAATATAAGTATCTTACCGAGGCCAATAAATAAAGACATGGGATTCTAGATGACCATGGAATGATCTGTTAATTGATTCACTATAAATTCAATCACACTAATAAATTCCATTAACTAATTTGTTATGTTTTACTTTGTTTCCTGCTGGCCTTATATAATGAATCGGCCATTTTGATTCGAAAGCAAGACCATCCCTGTGGGTTTTTGTCATCAAAACATAAGATGTGTACAAACGTTGCGGCTGGCTTTGAGAGATTGTTTCAAATTATGGGTAAAATGTCATACCTTACCTTTCCTGTCCATGTGAAAAATATTTTTCCCGGTGAGGCTTCAAGTCTCACTCCAGCAAAATAGTCACGTTTCTTCCAATTTCTGTGTTCCACAAAAAGCAAGATTTTGGAAACAATCCAAAGTGGACATCCCGTGAAAATCGGGGTGAAAAAATTACTATAATCTGCCGCTACTGAGCATGCCATATTACCTCTTTGGTTTTAAGTTTCAGTTCGTCTTTTGGGCGGCAGTTCCCATATGGAGGGTCGTGTTGAGGTGTACTACCAAAGCCGCTGGGGTACAGTTTGTGACCACGAGTGGGACCTTGATGACGCTAATGTCATCTGTCGCATGCTTGCCTTGCCTCCTGCATCTCATGCCTGGGAAAATGCTCACTTTGGTCAAGGATTTTTTGATATTGCTCTTGATGAGGTCAATTGTCGAGGCAATGAATCAAGCATTGGTGATTGCCAGCATGGACCCTGGTTTACTCATAACTGCGATCACAGCGACGATGCAGGAGTTACCTGTGGTGGAGCTATGACAACGCCAAGTCCATCAGGTATATCCAGTTTTTTCCGGGGTTTTCATTTGGATTGTTTGGTTGTTTCTCATCTTTCACATGACCTGTGGAGATACTTACCTCACGTTGCATTTATACCCCGCCTGTAAAAGTGCGTTTGGGCTAATGTCCCATTAAAATGGTCTGGCCACGGATTACATATCGTGTATCATACATTTCTGTGTTGTCTGCGATTTAACCCGGAATAGACTGTTGGGCACAAATTCTGACCGAGACAACGCAGCACAAACTGTCAGAAATCTGAATCAATCATACAAATCGAGTAGGGTCTTTAAGATTATGCCTATTCAGGATACGAAGGACATTTTAATGCCACTTAAGTAGGTAGTATCAGTTTATTAGAACTGGGAAGAGGTTGGTAGCACTTCCTCTCGCCATAAATATATTTGGTATAATTGCTCCTGACCTGTTCGAAGAAGTTAAAAGATCCACTCTCAACCTATTGGGCGCCAAATCCAGTGTTTCGGTTGCCAAATCTTGTGCATAGACACTCGTGTGTTATCTGCTACAATGAACCACGCCTTGTGTTTGGTCTCTTTAGTTTCAGTTCGTCTTGTGGGTGGTTTTTGTAACAATGAGGGTCGTGTAGAGGTGTACTACCAAGGACAGTGGGGTACAGTTTGTGACGATGAATGGGACCTTAATGACGCTAATGTCGTCTGTCGCATGCTTGACTTACCTCCTGCAACTCGTGCCTGGGGCGGATCTCACTTCGGTCAAGGAGCTGGTCGAATTGCTTTGGACGACGTCTGTTGCAATGGCAACGAAGCTAACATTGCTGACTGCAGACACCGAGCCTGGTTCAGTCACGACTGTGACCATTATGACGATGCTGGAGTTACCTGTGGTGAAACCACGACAACGCCAGGTCCAAGTAAGTCTCTATCATATCCATTCCTCTCCGTGTGCAGATCTTGCAGTATGGACATAGGTTTAAGTCCTTCATTCCTTGACTTAAATGGACCCGGTTTTTTTCCTGTAGAGCCTAACAGTCCCTTCCACAGAGAAAGATCGCGTGTGGTTCGTTACTTAATTTTACAACATGGTGATCATGTTGCATTTTCTCTGTATGGCATTGTTTCTTTCTCAGTCTCAGTTCGTCTTGTGGGTGGAGCGTCGTCTTACGAAGGTCGTGTTGAGGTATACTACCAAGGACAGTGGGGTACAGTTTGTGACGATGAATGGGACCTTAATGACGCTAATGTCGTCTGTCGCATGCTTGACTTACCTCCTGCAACTCGTGCCTGGGGCGGATCTCACTTCGGTCAAGGCTCTGGTCCTATTGCTCTTGACGATGTCAGTTGCTATGGTTACGAATCAAGCATCGCTGATTGCCAACATCGAGCCTGGTTTAGTCATAACTGTGAACATTGTGAAGATGCTGGAGTTACTTGTGGTGAGATCATGACAACGCCAGGTCCAGGTTGGTTTATTAAAAAAATACGATTTCCCTTATTCCTTAACTCAATTCTGATAATTAGATAACTTAACAGATCTTGTAATGCAAAATAGCCCATTATTTAAATAATTACAAACAGGTTCCCCATCTTGTACAAGCATTTGCTTCTTATCTGGAATCCTCATATCATTTCGATTATATCAATATCATATTCGTGTGAATTTTATTTAAGATATGGAAATAAATGAACTAAATTTTAAAAAAAATGGACCCAGTCTTTTTCCTGTAGCCTAACAGTGCCTTTTAAAGAAATGGTTCGTGACGTCTTTTACACCATGGTATAACTTAAGTTTTACATATCGCATATTTAATGTGTTATATTTTTTCTTTCTCAGTCTCAATTCGTCTTGTGGGTGGAGCGTCCTCTAACGAAGGTCGTGTAGAGGTATACTATCAAGGACAGTGGGGTACAGTTTGTGACGATGGGTGGGACATTGATGACGCTAATGTCGTCTGTCGCATGCTTGACTTACCTGCCGCATCCCATGCTTGGGACGATGCTCACTTCGGCCAAGGATCTGGTCGTATTGCTCTTGACGATGTCAGTTGCTATGGCCACGAATCCAGCCTTGCGCAGTGCAGCCATCAAGCCTGGTTTAGCCATGACTGCGATCATAGTGAAGATGCCGGAGTTACTTGTGGTGAAGCCATAACAACAATATCTCCAGGTTGGTTGAGCCAATCGCTCCATCTTCCAAGATCCTGCTTTGCGCTCCATAAAAGCTTGTCATAATACTTCCGAAAACCAACTTTTTTAAATATAAGTCGTGTAGGTAGACTCTTTACAGGAACGTTATCAATCCTAAATTGTTTTGGTTCAGTTTCAATTTTAAAATGTAATTTAAAGCCTAAATATTACTTTCGCTGACATCTTTAGACGGTTTTCTATTGAAGATAATGTGCTCTCTAGCCAGTATATCCTCAGATACTAACGGGCTTATTCCAAGCAAATATTCGAATTTGTCAGTTATATATTTGAGAGTTGGAACTAATGGTAATGACAGTCTCAGGCCTCTCTCAGGCGGTGAGGTTACAGTGATCAGTAGATACCATCCATCATGGCTCTTGGTGTGAGCGATGCCGCCTGTCCTTTCATAAGCACACTCTGTCAATTACTGATTGTTTAATTATAATGCTAGGTTGGCTAGTGCTACTCATAAGATAGCCTTCTTTTGGAAACGCTGACTGGTTGGCAACAAATTTGATAATTGTTTTTCTTCCATTGATTTGAAAAGTCTATTTGTCTACGTTGTTGCCGTGGTAGTTTTAAGTATAAGATTGTCCTTCATATTTTCGTGGAATTGTTGCATTGTCGTCGTATCCCTCGGTAGTCCATTTGACCAGTGGACAGTGAGATTCGACCTAACAAGACTGACTTGTGAACATTTTTTCTGAACAGGTGAAGTCGATCTGAGCAACATTCAGCTGGACGGGAATATGCCAATGGAAGGCATAGTTCAAGGCTGGAAGAATGGCCAGTTTGTTGACGTGTGTAGCGATGATTGGGAGTTGAATGATGCCAAAGTGATCTGCCGACAGTTAGGTTACTCAACTAGTGACGTCTCTGTGTATTCAGATACTAACCACAATGGTGAGTAATGAGAATAAAATACAATTGAATTTGCAAATCACACCATGAAGTGAATGATTCCTGGCCAGTGATTTTTATATAACTGTCTGGTAAATCCTACACACCAGTGTAAGTTTAACATCGTTGTTTAAAGAAACTCATGTTAGAAGGACGGTGATCAGCTTCGTTTCCTATGCACTACTTTCTCGCAAAGCCGCTTTGAATAATCCACCGGCAGTACGGTGGATTATTCAAAGCGGATTATTCAAAACTCACAGTAATACACAGTTTTTAAAATGATTTTTTGTACTCATTCGAGTCTATCGGTATTTTTATTTCTACAGGTTACGGCTCCCATATAATTTACTCCATTCACTGTGACGGTTTTGAAAGTCGCCTCACTCAGTGTTTCACATCCTCATATACAACCGATTCATACTGTGAGAGAGCCTCAGTGAGCTGTCTGACATACAAAGGTAAGAACGTAATTGTCAGTTCGTAAAAAAAGGGCCAAAGGCATGCAGTTCGGTTCACGGGTCACGAACGACTACGAAATGCATGCGTTACGGATGCGTCGCTACCAGCAAAACTGAAACTCCTAACCACGTTGCTCTTTTCAGCTGATGGGGGTGCCTTTGCTCAAGGTGGATTGCAATTTTTTTAAGGTGAAACTTTCATTTTTTAATATTCACCGCCTTTCTGTGTGTCATTTTTCCCCCAAGGTCTTACAGCCGGTGCAGTTGCCGGTATCGCTGTTGGCTCTGTGTTGGCAGTAGTCGGTCTTCTCATCGTTTTCATCGTTGCTGTAGTCCGATGCTGTCGTCGAAATTCTTCAAAGACAACCAACAGCATGGGCACAGATTTGAAAACTGTTCATCATGCAAACTCCGCTGGGACCGAGGCCTACAGTAACCCTGTCTATGGGGATACCTCCCTAGACCAACCCACGATTCTTCAACCACCCCCAGGGTACTACTCTGTGCCCTTTAGCAACCAGTCCGGACCAATCCCCTCTCAAGTATCTTCTGCTGCGATCCCCTTGTACTCTCCTGCAGGGGTGTCTCCCGTATTAATCAATGGTTCCACCATGGCCCCATCCCCTGGATTGGCCAAGATGTCCCCCACTGCTCCACCCTACTCCACCGTGGCTTCTCATCCATCACCCAAGAGCCAGTTCGTCCAAGGACCCCCTGCAGGTTTTTCCCCAGGATTGGAAAAAAATGTAAAATCCCCAGACCCGTTCTATGAGCCATCTTTGCGCTCTCCGAAAAGTTCAGATGACAATAAAGGAAGCACCGTACATGTTAAGGGGATCGGCATAAATGAGGCTTCCGTGTAAGAATTTCTTATAAGCCCGTCAATGTCGTACATTATCGTACAATATCGTACAGGTGAACCGTAACTTTGATTGTCTCGGATTAAAAACAGAATGTTTGAAAAACCTGTAAATTGGGAATGCATTGCTGCAAGGGCATGAAGGTAACCACACACTGGCAGTGTTGTCGTGGCAGCACAGTTAATTGTAATAACGGCAGAACTACACCGAACCAAATCCTGGTGTTAATTTTACTGAGTCATAAATTTCTTGATCCCAGAAATTTACAGGAAAACATATTTGGTATGAGCTTTACAGGTTTTTTTTCCAGAATAGCTTGCTTGTTTGCTAGGAGCATGAGATAAAATTATTTTAACTCAAATGGAGGCAATTACAACCAATTTTAGAGTAACAACAAAGAATTTTACAGTTTGTACTTCAGCCAAGGTTTTTCATCTTGTGTTCCCTTCATATTTGTAGATTTTTAATGGTAGAAATGTGTGATTCCTGAATATAGTAATATTCATGTTTGAATGCGGTGTGGTGTAGGCCTATAGTTAAGAAAGGTTTCTATTCATATTTTTTTCATGTTTAAACATGCTCGTAGTATTTACAGCTGCATGCAGTGTGTTGGCAAATATATGCAATTAACCGCCTTAAATAGAAGTTTTTACCCTAAAACGTCAAAGTGGCTGGCTCCACTTCCAAAGGTAGCTTGACCCACAAGATTTCCAATGGATAGTCTTGTGGGTTAGGCTACAGATCAACCAGAATCTTTGCATTCAACGTTGAATACAAAGTTTCCAAGATGAGTAGGCATGGGACAATTGTGATCTGTTTCCCCTAGTTGTAAGATGGCAAAAAACACAAAACAAAACAAAACAAAACAAGAAAACCTCCCCCCTACGCTGCATGGACCACCACCCCAAAATCCAGACACAATCTTGTTTAGCAGCAGGAAACGAGAATTCCCCCATTTAAGTCATGTCTTGAGTCATGGTTTGCACTTGGCGACCATTTCAAATGAAATGAGGATAGCACCTCTCTCTAAGAATTACCAGTGTGGAATTCTGCATGAAGTGAATTATCAGTTCATTACTGCAACTAGAACCATTTAAAGCTGAGTAGAAACCTCTGCCCCGCTTGCTGGTTGTAAGGGCAATGCTGAAAGCATAGTGGAGACAGACAACGGTAACTTCATTTCCATTCTGTTCCCTTATAATGTCACTTGCACCAGTTTATTATGAAACGTCAGTTACTTGTCGCCCAGGGAAGGAGGTTGTTTCGAATTTATTTCGACCATCGTTACTATAAGTTTCGTTCTGTTTTAGGTTCGAAGAAAAGGGCCCTGGTTGAAGGCAAGGATAGCGCTTGTAGCTTGCGTGTGATTTCAATTTGACAGGAAAAAGGAATACACTTATTTTAATACTCAGCCAAAGTTGAACATTTGTAGGTTTGTGTGCTTGTTTATGTAATTTTTTGCTTTTACAAATAAGTTTCAAGTATTCGTAAACTGCATTAGTATCAATTCTTCTAATTTGGAAAATGAAATGAATGAAAGGGATATCCCTGTTTACGTTATCAGCTCAACATTGTATGGAATAAGATGGAATAATTATTTATTATACATTTGATTGCTTTTCACTCGCAGCTATGAAATAACAAATAGCTTTGGTTAGTTGGGCTCTTCCCGTCGACGAGGTTGATTTCACACCTACTATGCCCCACCCACCACAGATAGCATTATCAAACGAATGACGGACTTTTTCATCCAATATGATGTCCATACTAATTTTATTAACAAATGTTCGCTCAGTAGATCTTTTAAACGTTCTTTCTATTCCTTGATATATTTTGTACTACATGAATTTGTAAAGTAGGTCCATTTGAGGTTTTTCGTCGATTGTTTTCCTTTCAAAGCGCTGGAGGTCGTTCAAAGCAACATTTGAGTAAAATACGAGAGCTGGAAGAATGCAAGAGCCGTCTGGAGGCCTTTTGTTATTTTAATATTGGTTACGAGGCGTGTTAGACAGGGGAATGGCTGTACCCTGGCGCAAAAAAAAACATTGTCCGTAAAAGATGGCCACTCCGTAACGAATTATCGACCGGGATGGTGAATATTTTGATCAAATGGGCGCAGATAGGCGTCACTCTTGCTAGGGTTAACATGTGCGATTCCAAGCTGTATCTCAGGTTGGATTCTAGGCAGAGGTGAGGTTGGTTCTTTATGAAATATTTGTAATATACAGGGAGAGAATGGGTATGTACTTGACACCTATAGCATGTAGTGATGTCAATTGGTTCAACTACCACTGATAGGACCTACATACTCTTGCCACTGCTGTGCTCAAGATGAGACATTTCTAATCTGGTGCGGTTTGGTACCTTTCGGGAAGTCAGTCCATGCAAAAGGCTGCACTCAAACACAGAGTGGACGAATTGTGATAGATTTCAGGGATGCATCCTGAAAAACAATTTTATTGTATGACAGACGCGTTCCATTCCACTGATAAAATCATTCTAATTACTGAACTAATAAACAATATGGGAAATAATGACAACACTGTTAATGAGCTCCATCAAACTGGTTAGAGGAAAAAACACAATTTAAATCATACTACAAATAGGCCTACATCATTATGTCATTGCAAGGGAAGTGCGTGGTCGAGTGAATAACCAATGGGAGCATTGAAGTGCAAGTGTTCCTG